GTAGCGTTTAGTCCAGCGAAAGGAGTTATGCAAAAGATTACCCCAGCCCAGGGCTTTCAGCATTACCTCCTCCGCGGCTGACCAACGACCGTCCCTCAACATTGTCTGCGCGCCGTCCCCCGCGCTCAGCGGTTGGCTGGACCAGGGGAGACGTGCGGATGGGGGCGATCTGGATCCTGGTGCCTGTGATCCCATCAGCGTAGAAGCGACCGTAAGCGGCTGCTTTAGGATCGAGGGTTGGGGGAATATACATAGCGTCACCTGGACTGATAATATTCTGCATCCAGGGGGGGGGGTCACGGCTGGGAACGGGGGGTTCCCCGGAAGAGACGTGTTTAGAATGCGAACGGTGCTTTCTGTGTTCCTTCCTACTTGCCGGCTGATAGGCCGCAGTGGAGACAGCTCGCTCCGCCTGCAGGTGATCTACTCTGCCTGCCAGGGACGCAATTTGCCCTGACAGTCCTTCGACCAATGCCCTAATTTCAGCAGCAAAACCGGAGGATGGGTCCACAACGAGACCCAGCGCGGGCCCCATAGGAGGAAAGACCTCCAGGGGCACAGCCTCGCTGTTGCCGGTAAAGTTGGGAAACCCACTGTCTGAAAGAACAGACTGTGTAGATGCCCTCCGATCAGCGGGCCCTTTGCTTGGTATCCCGGTATGAGAACCGGTAGCCGAGCGCGAGGACTTGTCATTCATTCATAACGCACAACTCACTCATACCCATGCCGGTAGCACTTGCCGCGCGATCTTTTCGCGAACGAGTGATGCGGTCAGTCTCGGCTATTTTGACATGCTGCTGGAACGATTCCCAGGCTTCCGAACCCCAGCGATTACACATATTCTCTGGGCAGACACCCAAACCTCAAACGCACGTGAAACAACGATAACACTTTGAACACTGCGTACACTGAGTACAAATCCGCCTCATTTTCTGAGGATACAATACCGGCGGTGAGCCTCTGGCGTTGCCAGTGCATCTGTCCATTTCTAAATACATTAAAAATAAAAGACGACATGCATGAGAGAAACGAATTACAGTTGTAAAAAGTGGACGGCTACCTATGGCGCTGCCATGTGGTCTCGGTCACGTGGGTTCGTGACGTAAGGGGTAAAGGAATCTTGAGGTCATGGGGCTTCCCCTGACCTAGATTCTATCTCTCAGTCACCGGCAGAATCGCTGATTAATGCCTACAGTTCAAAATAGTCATTTTGACTGACCGGAGTCGATGGTGGGTAATTGAACGTAGTGAATTTTGTAAATAAAATTCTTTAGCGTAGACTTTATTCATGTGTAATAAACGTAAGTGAAATGTATTTTAACGAGTCATAATACGCAACAATAATTCGTATACAGCATTGGTTTTATTGAAGTTTTAATGCTTTTCAACTTCACAGTGAATTATTTTAGCGTCATATTTGAAATAGCGCGCTTGATACAAGATGTCGGACGGGAAAATTGGAGTCTGTAAAAACGTTTGTTGGTTCATTCAGGCAATGTGTGGACCAAAACATCGCCCACTATTTGAAACATCGCCCATGGTCGGGGTTTAGGATGGGCGGGGTATCAGTCGAATCCGGTATTAGGGATTGTCAACTTCCTGTGAATTTGAGTACCTGTTGTTTTTAGGTTCATGTGCTGCAAGTTGCAGAGCACTACCTAAGCAGCCGTTCCCCAGCAAATAATTAAACCAAGGCGGTTTCGATATCGAAATCGAGAAACTCTCCAATTTTACATAATCTGGGAAGTTCGAATTACTAAATGAAGTACAGGACGACAAAGCTGAAATATCCAAGAACCAACACATACAAAAAATCTCAAAAGTGAATATTCATGGTGTTTTTTAATTCTGGGAATTTGTTAGTACTCTAAGTAAATCACTTTTTGGATATCCGCTCCGCTAGGATAATCTTATAATCACTTTTGTAGGTTTGTATGTGTGTGTGATTTCCAGTGTTTTCACGTATTATTTCTTCTGTGATTTTTTTGGCTTGGCCGATTTTGCTCAAACTTGGCAGGTATGTCACATCTTCACCCTAGTTATTAGAACAAATCTGGAAAAAAATAAATTGTGGCCCACTGTTGCCATAGCAACAGCCAAACAACTGATTTTTTGGATAGCTTCGTGCCAAATGTATCTCCTCCTACAAATTTGGCATAAAACACTCCTAACATAGCTCATTCTACTCAGCTTGAGTGTGGGCACAATTTTTTTTTCATTACTGAGCTTTTTGACCCCAAAGTTGGGGTAACTGTTCACCAGGAATGGCTTTTTAACTCTTCTGTGATTTTTTTGACTGAGCCGATTTGGTTCAAACTTGGCAAGCAAATCACACCTTCACTGTAGTTAGATTGTAAAATCTGAACACAAATTCTGGCCGACCTTTTCTATGGCAACGGCCAAAAATCTTATTTTTTTTAATACATTTGTGCCAAATGCATCTCACCCTACATTTCTATGATTAAAAAGCACGGACGTAGCTCATTATATTCAGCTTGGGAGTAGGCTGTTTGTTTGTTTTTCTTATTTCTATTTTCATTACCGAGAAAATTGACCTCAAAGTGGAGGTAACTTTTTATCAGCAACAGCTTTTAACTCCTCTGTGATTTTTTTGGCTTGGCTGATTTTGTTCATACTTGACAGGTAGGTTGTACAGTCACTAATTTGAAAAAAATCCTGGCCCATCACTGTCATTGCAACAGCCAAAACTTCTTTTTGAATACTTTCGCCCAAAATTTATTACCTCCTACCAGTTTTGTAATTATAGCAGTGTTAAAATGACCATGCTTTTTATTTTGGCAACGTTGCACACTGGTAAGAGATCACCGGCGCCGACATTGTTACACTGTATCAACGTAATCACAACACAACTTTGAACTTTGAATGAACTGTAAATGCTGCCTTCAATCTAGAAAATACTTTTGCAAAACGGTTGGAATTAATAAATTTAACAGCAGAATATGTCCTAGCATAAGATTGTTATGTGAACTTCATTCATTAATGGAATACAGTACGATGACGCTATTTTCTAACTGATTCAGACTCCTATATTGAGTATGTCCCGGGCTGTTTACTAGTATCAACCTACTTACTTGTCAGTGTCTAACTGTTATATACAGCCCAGAACACGTCAGAATAGTAAAAAAAAAGTCTGCTAATGTCAGTTGCCCATGCCATGAGAGCCGGCCACAGAACCAAAACAATCTGTTAACCTTCGCGGCCCACAGCATCGATATGATTTTATATTGCATAGAAATAAACACTAAATGTAGCTATCCCGGTCAGCAATAGAATCAATAATCTTAGTGGTCCGTAAATGCATGTTGTCAAGTTCGAGAGTGCGTTTTAAGGTACAGTACTGCTACAATTTTGGGCTTGAACATGTTCTATATTCACCCAAAACAACAACGAACCTGAAACAAAAGTAACCGTCTTATCTCTCTTGCATTTCCGATCAACAGAAAGTCGGGGCCAATCTACCATGATTGTTTGTTATCATCAATTCACAAAGGTCAAAAAACATTTTTAAACGTGAATTTAACGTTGAACGTTTTTGAAACGAATCAATGTTCTGGTTATCTCTGGTGCAACTGCAGTCTTTGGAGCAAACTTGAGAGACTGTAAAACACAATTCATGGCACGCGACTTAAAAACGCAATTTACATGTGAATTTCCCAACAAAGGTTTAAATGTTTTAGTTGTATGTGGTGTGGCACTGGTGTGGAAAGCTGTCGAATAAAATGGCGATAACCTTCAAACGCATTGTTATGCTAATTTGATTTCCGGCATGTTAGTTGACAAAGAAATGAAAGATTTCTTGAATTTTCGGCCATAGCTACGTAAATTTGAACCAAAATGTTATCGGCAAGACTCAGAATGCTACAGTGACAGCCACTGAAACGTAATTGAAGGCAAATGAACACGTCAAGCACAAGTCGTGGCGTAAAATGGAGGCACATACCATTTTGACTCTTGGGGGGAATGGAAATCAATTGATTTGAGGGTGTCACAATAAGCGAGGGGGTAAATCGTTTTTATGCTACGAAATAAATAAAGACCTTGAATGTACTTTTTGGACTTTAGTACAACGTCATTTTTGTTTGATTACCTAACGTTTTTAGGTTCATGTGCTGTAAGTTACAGAGCACATACCTAAGTAGCCATCCCTCAGCAAATAATGAAGCAAAGGCATTTTCGTTGTCAAAATCGCGAAACTCTCCCCTTTTACGCAAACTAGGAAGTTCGAATTACTAAACGAAGTATATCCAAGAACCAACACATACCAAAAAATATATCTCAAAAGTGAATTTTAAGTCTAACCAGGACATAAGTGAGAATTCGTTAGTAAATATCCAAATATATTTTAGTATAAGGTAGTAAAAATAGGCTTGATAATACCCATTAGGTCACACACACACACACACACACACACACACAGTGTTGCAGTCAAGAGTGCTAATGTAAATAACGCTCTAAGGTCGTATCTATAGGCAGTAACAGATGGTTACAGGATTATAGGCACAGACTGTGACAGAGGTGAATGTAATAATTATTTCACATACATGTATGCAGTTTTATCTTGGTTAGACAGTAACTGTAGTTATATAATAAAATACCCTCATAATTAACGATATTACTATTATAATTATATCTAATTAATTATGTTTATTGAAATGATGATGATATCATAGATCCATGTAAATTACTTGCCATGCAAAGATGTAAGCATATTATCCACTTATATATTTCTCAATATATATGGAAATATTAAACACTCAAATGCTATATATATGATATATCAATGAGGAGCAATTCCAACAGATTGTAGTAGTTTAGAACGTCGATTTAACGGCTGTACACTGAGCTACTTATGTCTAAGGGGCGGAACACTGAATGCACACACACAACTACTTCCTACAATGTTATAGTTTTTCAAACGATTACGGCTATTTAGAGGAAAATTACACCCAAAATAGCTTATTTGCGTATTTTTGTCTTACCTGTTGGAAGACCGAGAGTAAAGTATTTTTCTGGTCCCGGATTAAATGACAATATTCTATTTCTGACATACTTGGCCGCCCAAGTACTGGCGTCACAATAGGAATCCAATATTACCAACCGCATTGTCAGTGTTTATAACGTAGTTACATACAACCCTGAAAAATAGAATGAAAGGCTGAAATGTAGAAATAATTGTCCATCCGTGAAATATAAAACCATGTTACTACCGAGAGTGTATCGTACGTAAAACGATTACCGTATAAAAATCCCTTAACAAATCACACGGGTGCGTGACATTTTGGGGTTCTCGGCGCCTGAAGTTGACCGATACAGATCGTGTACCGGCAAACTTAGGGATAAGTTTACACCCGACACAATTTATAGTTGTTATGGTTTCAGAATAGAACGACACAATCAGAGAATATTTGTAAATGTGTTAATATACCTTGTATTTAGCAACCAAACCGGCGGCGAAATGACGGTATTGGCAGCTGACCCGTTGTGCTTCTATCGCCATAGGCGGCGCTCTTGATGTCGCAATTTAGATTTGTGAAGTTTGTCGTAATATTTGTGTGTTTGTTATAGAATTAAACAGTAGTGTGTTAGTACATGTATTTGACACTTTAATGAATTGCTACAGACAATCAATTTGAAGTAATTATAATTTAACATGCATAATATCAACATGATTAATGGTAAAAACAATTGGCCGTAAAAGAGTACTTCATTATTTTCATCGAGTATGGCGTCGGCTGCTCGACATTTTCGGTTCTGGAGACGAACAAACAGTTTGTTCTGGAGACTATGTCGTCCGGTTACCGAAGATGTTAAACACAGACCTAGGCATGCAAACCTACAGCGAATGTGGTTATCTCGTTTGTCGCTCATCGCCAGAAAACGACCCGTGCTGTCAGTTAAAGGCGGTGCTGGTTTGTTGACTGCATGTGGTTTCTGTACTGTCGCGTATTGTAGCACTGGCAGTATTGATGACCGAACATGTATGTATTTCTTTCTTTTTGCAATGTGTTACTAATAACTGTAATATTAATTTTGCTGTTTAATTCCATATTTACGATCCCAACTCTAAAGTATTGTTGATAATAAATTTGTCGCAATTATCACGAATTAATCAACCGACGAAATAAATGGTGTAAAAATTGCGTTTATTACACCATCATCTGTGTAACGAAATCCAAGTATGACTTGTCAGCGGTATAAAACACTCATTTCTCCTCTGCGTCGTAACTACTAGAAAACTTAGCACTGAGCCATTTTAATGTTTTCAAAAATACTGGACAGCAGTATACTGTACAGTACAGTGTATCTGCCAGTGGCTTACACACTATATCCTTCAAAAAATAAACACAAAGCAATATAGCTCATTTTTTTATTATTATTATTTCGGCGTTTTTACGTAATGATTTTAACTAACAAATTGTGTACATTGCACGATTTTTGGTGAATTTGATGTAATAAGTGTTATGTGGACGCTTAGTCATTTGACTGTCATAGGGGAATATTTTTATCATCTGATGAAACACAATTACCAAATATGGACAATACTTTGTTGTAAAATATTCTTATATGAGTCATTTATTGAAAGTTATCAAGCACTTCATTTTTCATGAAGTGTGCCCCTTCTGTTTTGTGATTTTCACAGCCGAATGCATTTGATATGTGTTCCATACTACATATAGTACCTTCTATGGAAATCATTTCCGAAGTGGATCATATATCGCAAATCTGTTGTGTCTGGAAATTGGGAAACCAGGAAGGATCAGTGTAAAACACCATCCCACAAAGACACATTAACATTATCACTTCCTTTGGGACTGTCGAGTACCTAATGTGAGTTGGCTTTTGTCCCCATGTTGGAATCTATGCACATGATTATATGAATACAAATAGAGGGTTACAATAAAATTGGTAGAGGATTTACAAAAACAAATATTTCTCTAAAAATAGTACCTCTATGCTCAGTTAGGCCTTATCACATTTTTTACAAATACAAATCAAGGTTTGAATATAAATATAGGTTTAACGAATATAAAAATGTCATTTATAAATATAAATTTAAATTCTTGCTAATAAATATTTTT